CCTCTGGAGAAGGCTGAGAAGAGGGTAGACAAGCAGGTAGGATCTACAGGGGCTGCTAATCCACAGAGCCATACATCTTTATCAGGAATAGAACGTTTCAGACGGAGAGTCAGTAGCTGTTAGAAACCACGGACAGAGGAGCATTTCTGGATTGAATCCCTTGGGGGAAAAGGAGGGAGAGGGTCACAGAGCCCCGGTGAAATCGTTTTCCAACACTGCAAAGTGCCTGCTCTACAGGTCCAGAGGAAGAGAAAGTGTCAGTTATAGGCACCTTTGAGCAGGATGGGAGGCGTTGGGGAAGATTTCCTGCCACTGTCCAGCAAAACCTGCAGCTATCAGAGGTGGGGAGAGACAGTGGGACAGAAGAGGCTAGAGGGTGGGGAGGAGGACGACGACGATGACAAGGGACTAGAGGGGAAAACAAAACAAAGCACAGTGCAGAAGGTGAGCGAACAGCAGGGTTCAGAGTTCATCTCATCTGCAGAGTTCAGCCCCGAGGGATGGCACTGCCTCATGTGGTCCAAAGGCCCGAAGGAACTGAGGTGGAGTCCCTGAGGATGCCTGTGGAGAGAGTAGATGGTTATGCATTACACAGGACCCCTGGGGGCCGAGACAGCTGGAGTGCAGAGAGATAGAAGTGAGCTCTTAGACGTCGTCAGAGAGACTGCAAACGAGCTGTGCACCTTGGTGGGCTACACCAAAAGTGGCCAAGGGGAGAAGCAGGACCATACAAGTCCATCACTCCCAGGGAAAAACCAGGCTTAGTGAAGGCAGGAAGTAAAGGTGTGTGTGTGTGTGTGTGTGTGTGTGTGTGTGTGTGTGTGTGTGTGTGTTCCTTCTCCTGAGTCTGCTCCTGGAAGTATATAGGCTAAGGGGGACATAGAAGCCAGAGCAGGGGTGGGGGGTGGGGCCCAAGGACAGAAGGCAGGCGTCTGAGATGGTCTGGTCTGGGGGACAGGAGGCAGGGTTGGCTGGCCTCCGGCTCCCAGAGCCCCTTCTGAAAGTCTGTGGGTACTGTCTTGACCCACCAGAGTCTCCTGGCTGTTGGCTGAACTCCGTGCTGATTCTAGGGGAACGACACGGGAAAGCGTCCGGACAAGGAATCAGTGGCCTTTACCTTGAGTGGGAAACTGCTGCCCAGTCTATGAGGGCCTAGGCCTCTCTGAGTTGACTTTGGACCCAAATCTAGAACCCCCAGGCCCTGCCTTCTCACTGTGCGATCTCGGTCCCTTGGGAGGTTTCCAGGTTCCCTTTTCAGAAGGGCAGGCCTGCCTGTCCTGGGAAGCATACCCAAGGGTGTCTCCTGAAGCACAGATTAGTGACAAGGCAGAAACTGCAGGAACTCCAGATTCTTTGGGGGACCTCGCAGGGTACAGGCGGCCTGGGCCTGCTCCACCACCAGGGGACGCCTGCAGCCCTGCAGGCGGTCGGGAGCCTGAGTTGGTGGGGTGGGGACTGCGGGTGCGGTCCCCTACTCGGCCCAGCAAGAGGTGGCCGGCCCGCAGGGCTCAGAGGCCCTGCGGGGGCGGGGCGAGGCCGGCGGGGGCGGGGGTAGGAGCTCGCCGGGCGGGGCGGGGGTGGGCGCCCTGCTCCCCCTCCCTCCTTCCTTTTCTTTCTTTCTTTCTCCGCTTCTCGCTCTCTTTCTTTGCCTCGGCAGCTGGCCGAGGGGGCGGTCCTTGCAGTCTTTGTTGCCGGAGGAGCGAGTGCAGCTGCCAGCCGGCCAGAGTCGGGACCTGGACCTTGGGAGCTGCATGCGGCCAGGCGGTCCTGAGTCGGACCCCGGCCCCGGCTAGGACGCAAAGGCGACAGACGAAGGCGTGCGCTAGGGGTCGTCCCGCGGCCACCCCACTCTGGCTGGCCATGCGCGGTGGTACGAGTCTCCTCTTGATCCTGTGCGCTCTGGCGTCCGACGTCCCGGGACCTGCATCAGGTGGGTGGCTGAGCCTCTGGGACCCGCCTGACCCTGCCACCCTCCCCGCATCCCCAATCGCTTCTCTGTGCACCCTGTGCTGGATGGGCTCCTCCTAGGATTACTAACGGGCCAAGGTCGGGTAGGCAGATTAGCGAAGCTGTACCCACCGGGAGCCATCCCTCAGTCTGCGCCTCAGTTGGCGTCCGGGACTTTCTCCTGGAGCGAGCTTGCACTCTTCGGGCTCCAGCTTCCCAGCCGCGCGTGCAGCGATGCGCGCACCTCTCCGTAGAGAGCGCTCCTCGGATGGGGCTGGACGAATCCTGAGGGACTCTTGTTTGTCACCCTCTGCTTTGGGTGACTCTCCTGGAAAGCAAGCTGGCTAGGACACTGTCGGGGACCGCGCCAAGTCGCAGGTCTGCTGGGGTGCGTCGCCGCGCCTCCCAGCTTGGCGGCGCGGGGGTCCGAGTCCCCACCGCCCTTGCATTTCCTGCCTCCCCCTCCCCCAAGTGTTGAAGGCACAGGGAGGAGAATGGGGAGCCGGAGCTTCTTCCTCCGCCCTGGGTTAACTCTCCCAGCCCCGCCCGCCCGGCCGGCCTCAGACGAGCCTCTGGCGAGCGTCCAGGCTCTTGTTTGGCTGCGACCTGCGTTGCAGCGCGCTTCTGGAGAGTCCGGAGCAGCCCGCCTGGGAATATGCGAGTCAGGGATGTGAGAGACCCCAGGCTTTGTGCTTAGGTAGCTCCAGGTCGGCTGGGGGCTGGTCAAGTATTAGGGAATGTATCTGCAGGTGAGGGATTCAAGGGTATTGCCAGGTAGATGGATTGGAGGGATGGATGAACTCTGGATGGACTGGACCAATATGGAGCGGGCAGGAGTGACCTCGAGGAAAATCTGCCCTGGGCGGGGTTAGGCTACTTGCCTTCCTGGTGCAGATACTGTATCTGTGGGCCCCGAAAGTCAGGAACATTTAAACCACTGAGCGTAATGGCTGGGAGAGCACTGTTTTAGGGTTGATCTAACAGTAACCTTCAGGAAGGCGGTGTGCGGTGTGTGTGTGTGTGTGTGTGTGTGTGTGTGTGTGTGTGTGTGTGTAAAATCATTTAGTGAGCACCTACTAGGACCCAGCCTTACTCTTACTCATTCTTATTTCTCACCATCTCTTAGTAAACCTGTAAGAAAGCTGACACGCATAAAAACCTCTTCTGTGAGGAAACAGGTTCAAAGACTAGTGTGAACTGCTAGTGAGGGCGGTGGAAAGAGAGGGCAGAAACAGGCTCTTGGGAAGTGTGTGCGGTCAGGGAGAGGTGCGCCTTTTAGGATTTTTATGAGGACCGAAATAGTGAAGGTCAGTTGCTTACTGCTGGGCAGTAACTGCCATGCCGTGGCCATTATCTTTATTACTCTTCTAGACAGACTCCATTGGATTTCAGGATGCTTTGGTGAGTCCTGCTATTTGGACTTGTTGCCTGGGGTACCAGCAGGCCAGGCACCCTCCCTTCACTAATCTGGGGACCCCACCAGGGCTGAGTGTGTGTCTCTGGAATCCCTCTAGATCTGTAGTGTGGGGCCCTGCTGTTTCTGCTCTCAGGATCTCTGACTCTGAGGCTGTGAACCTCTTTGTCTCTCTCTTTTTTTTTTTTCTAAGCCTGGACTCTTGCCACTGAATGGTACCTCAAAGAGCATGTCCTAGGCTCACTTTTAGAAAAATGTATACTATCTTTTTTTTTTTTTTTTCTTCATGGACTCCCGGGGTGCCAGGCTCAGTCCTGACTGCCCCATTCCCTCACACAGGCCGTATTTCCCTCTGCATTGCTTTGCAAGCCCCGATGTCTATGTGCTGTGGTGCTCCAGGTCATTTGAAGGGCTGGATTGTAATTTAGGTTCTTGATAGGGAGGTGAGGGTTAGTCCAAGGTTGGCATTTCTCTGGCAGAATCCCTGACGTGAGAGTTGTCACCTAGGAGTGATATGAAGAGTCTTTATCACCGGAGTGTGTGTGGTGTGGCAGGTGCTCAGTCCCATCAAGGCAGCAGACCTTCTGACCTGGCAGAACACTTGGCCATGAGCCACCGGCACCCTGTCAGCTGGTGCCAGCTGCTATTTCAAGGGAATTTCAGCTCTGATGATCTGCTTTCCCTGTAGGTCCACGTTGGTGAATGTATTTGAACCTGCAATTATGTCTCACGGCCACTAGGTGCTGATGGTTTTTGGCCACCAAAGTCTTTACCTGGGTCTTCCTGTAGGGAAGGCATTACTGAGAATTACTTATCTTTCAGTTCATCGTGCTTATCTTTAAGATGATTTAAGGTTGGAGAGATGGCTCTCATAAGATGCTTGCCGAGCAAGGTTGAGGACCTGAGGTTTTCAATGGGCTGTCTCTGATGAAGATCTCATCCTAGCCAATCCCAGTCTAAGCAAGCGGTGTCTCCTTCCTTTGCTTGGACGTTCTCTATACTGGGCCAGGGTGGGCACATACGCATGCGGTAAGGGGGGCTGTGGATGCCTTGTGCCAACCTCTCTATTTTGAGTGTTTTTTTTTTGTTGTTGTTTTTTGTTTTGTTGTTGTTGTTGTTGTTTTTTTTTTTTTTGCATTTCCCTGGACTTTGGAACCCCAAATGATCCCAAACGGCTAGTAGCCGAGGGCACTATGAATACACCAGGTACTGTGAACCCGGCATTTCATAACAGTAATGAGCAAACAAGGCTGGTGGAGAGACTTTTTTTTTTTTAAAGGAACAATGGATTCTTAGCCTGTTTATTGCTTTTCTCAGTTTGGTTAGAGATGAAGTTTTTTATTGAGTGATGATGGCTAACAGGCAACCTATGTATACTCAACCTCAGTACTGGGAACAGTAGTAAGCAGTGGGGACAGAGACCGATGGGGAACACAGGTCCTCCAAAGAGGACTTCCGGCTTTCCTCCAGCCACTTTTGACAGGTGGAAATTTAGGTCTGATGTGTGTAGATGACAAGATTTCAAGGAAAACTGGGAATTGAAATTTTTGTGTAAAGATCATATAATTTTTAAACACTGGAAATTGACTAATTTTTTTTTCAATATCTGTGCCAATAAATCAGGCCTGCAGTCTCTGGTCATGGGGTAGCAGTCTCAAAATACTCTTATTAGGACGCCAGGGTAGTAAGCATGCTATCTCCCAAAAGAACCCCTGGAAAGATATGATTACACAGTATATGCATCTTGGGACTCTGGAGCCTAAGACTTACAGAATAGCAGTCTGTGGGTTAGGTCCTAGGTGCCTGTAGCTTTTCAAAGCTCTGTAGGTAACTGGTCAGTTAGCTAAGTTCACTCCCAGTGGGAGATTTCCACACTTCCTCAGAGTCCAGTTCCCTGAGGCTTTTGCTAAAAAAAAAATGAAGCTTCCTCATCCTCTTTCTTGGAGATGCTGATTCAGTGAGTCTGGGATGGGGCCTGGGAATTTGTTTTTAAGAAAGTCTTGTCCAGGAAGTCTGGGAACTCTTTGCACTTACCACCCCTGAAGTTCATTGATTGGAAATACTTGCTCAGAGCTACACAGCAGTTCTTCCCAGGTCACTCGTCCCATGACTCTCAGAGAAGGCACTTGCTAGCAGGGCAGCCATGGGCAGAGGGCAGTGTCTTTTTTTTTTCTTTATTAAGAAATTTTCTACTCATTCCACATACCATCCACAGATTCCCCCCTCCTCCCTCCTCCCACCCCTTCAGCCCTCTTTCCCAAGCCACCCCGCATCCCCCAAATCGAGGACTCCCATGGGGAGTCAGCAGAGCCCAGCACACTGAGCCTAGGCAGGTCCAAGCTCCTTCCCACTGCACCAGGGCTGTGCAAGGCGTCATACCACAGGCACCGGACTCCCAGAAGCCTGGAGGGCAGTGTCTTGAGCAGAGGCACACCACTGGCATGTGAGGGGCACCCTGCATGAGTTCTGGCAGCAGACAGAGGGAGGATTTGGTTCTGTAACAAGGCCACAGTCAAGCCTCTGAGTAGACTTGACTGTGCCAACTTGGCAGGTGGTAGCAAAGAGAGTTCAGAATATATCTGCAGGACACTTGAACCAGAATATTTCTGTGGACCTGAGGGGTCACTGCTATGAACAGCCAGATATCTAAGGAGTAGTACCTGGACTGGATGAAACCTCAGTGAATCAGAGCAGTAAGTTTCCTCGCTGTGCCTGGAGTTCAGGCACTTCAGAGAGGGGTAGGGCTGGAGGACAAGAGCAGGGACCCAGAGCACCAATGTAGGCAGGTGTGCACAAGAGGATTTGTTTTGTTTTTGTTCTGTTATTGTTGTTTTGAGAGTCTTAAATAATCTAGTCTGGGCTCAACCTTCTTATGTAGCTAAGGATGACCTTGGATTTCTGATCCTCATTCCTTCCCTTCCCAAATGCTGGGATCTATGTATGTCACCAGGACAAGTTTTGGCAAAGTTAGTGATTGCCAAAGGTCTTCATATATATGCTGTTCATCACTATACCATCCAAGCCGTACCCTCAGCCCTCTGAGATTTCTTTTGAAGCCTAGTTATTAACTTCTAGGAAATGTATCTCATCAAATTTCTTTGTATTGACGGTGGGGAACACAGACTTCTGATGTGATGTTACTGAGAAGCCATTTGGGAAATGGGGTCAGGTCTCAATTTTCTCACTCTCAGTGTGTGGTTATAGCCCACTTTACCACTCTGAGCTCTTGTTTGCTTTCTGACCTGGAAAGTAGTCTGACACACCTTATTCTTGGTGCCCTAACCTAGAGTCTTCAGCTTAAGGGACCACAAATCCCAGGAAGCTAGGAACCTGGATTGGAAAATATTACATCTACAGTTTTTTATAACTTCAAGTGATATTTAGCATAAAGATATTTTTCTTTAATTATGAATATGGCCAACACATTTAAATTATAGAGTGTGAATATTTAGTTTTGAACATTACCAGGGAATTCCAGCATTACCACATGAGTGTGGAGGCCAGAGGATGGCCTTGGGTGCCATCTTTAGGAATACCGTTCACCTCCATTGAGAAGGTGTTTATCATTTTCCTGGAGCTTGCCAATTTAGCTGGGCTGTCTGGCCAGCAAGACCCAGGGGTCCTCCTGCCTCTACCTCTCCAATTCTGGGATTACGAGCATGCATCACCCGGTGGCCTGGGTTTTTATATGGCTTCCGGGGACTGAACTCATGTTTGCAGGGCAAGCACTTTACTGACAGAGCTATCTTCTTCAGCTCCACAAATAGTTTTTTGTTTCTTAACTTAAAAAAAAAAAAAGATTTAGCTGGGGGGTGGTAACTCGTGCCTTTAATCCCAGCACTTGGGAGGCAGAGACAGGTGGATCTCTGTGAGTACAGGCCAGCCTGGTCTACAGAGTGAGTTCCAGGACAGCCAGCTGGCTACACAGAGAAACCCTGTCTGGAAAAACAAAAAACAAAACAATAACAACGACAAAAGATTTATTTTATTTGTGTATGCTAAGTGTATGTGTGTAGGAGTCTGAAGAGGCCAGAAGAGGGTGCTGGATCCCCTGGAACTGGAATCACAGATGTTTGTGAGCTGCTGGGTACTGGGAACTGAACCCAGGTCCTCTGTAACAGCAGTATATACTCTTTTTTTTTTTTTTTTTTTTTTGGTATTTCGAGACAGGGTTTCTCTGTGCAGCTTTGTGCCTTTCCTGGAACTCACTCTGTAGTCCAGGCTGGCCTTGAACTCATAGAGATCCACCTGGCTCTGCCTCCCGAGTGCTGGGATTAAAGGTGTGCGCCACCACCGCCCGGCCCAGTATATACTCTTAACTAAGGAACCTTCTCTCCAGCCCCACATAAGTTTTCTTGTCTCACTGATGCAGATTCTTTGAAATAAACCTTAATGTTCATTACTGCTTCAAAATCACTACACCATTGTTAGACCTTGCTTAATGATCTGGTGAATGACCACACAGTTCTGCGCTTCATTTTCAAGGTTATCTTGATAGCTGTATTTCCATACAGTGGACTTTCTTGGTCTTCCTTATATCTTATGCATTTACAAACATTTCTCTGAGAAGGGGTGCCTGGGAAATAAATAAACAAGCAAACAAATAAACAATGTGAAGAATCTTTTTCCTTTCTGGTCAGTGTAAGAGGACGGAGTGATACAGAGAGTGATTTTCAAACCCTGAGGGCTTGAGCTGAGTGAGGTCTTTGGACAGTCTTCAGCTCAGGAGCCCTTGCTTCACATGGACTCTTTCCAAGAGAGAAGTCAGGGATGCTCCACTGAGACAGGAGTAGAAAGGCACCAGAAAGCCCCATCTGGGTGGTCCTTCTCCCCATCCCGGGAGGCCAGTACACACTTGCACATCCCACAGGCATCTGAAGACACATTTTCTAATCCACGAGGCTAGTAACAATTCTAACAACGTCTGCTGAGTCCAGTGGGCTAGGCACTGCTGTGTGTAGGGTGGCTCAGTACATTCAGTCCTCAGAACAGCCCCTGATTACATGTAGGTTCTGTTGTTATTCTCATCTACACATTCATTCAACAAATATTTCCTAAAAAACGACTAAGTTCCAACCACTTCTAGAACTTGAAAAAAATTTCTTCAGCAAATAATATGAAGATTCTCACCTTCTTGGAAGTGATGATATTGGAAGGAGAGAGAAAACAAAGGGACACATAATAAAAAAAAAAAGTTAAGCGATGGGGTGTATCGTCATTGCTGGGGGGGGGGGCGAAATAAAGCAGGAAAAGGGGGACAGAGAAACCCAGTGAGTCACAATACTAAAATCAAATGGCCAAGAGAGACCTCACAGAAAGATGTTTGAACAAGGGCTTGAAGGAGGCTGTCATGCGTGAACCATGTCAGAAACAGACCAATGCAGGAGGTGACATCAAGTTTGTTGGCTGTAATTCACCGACCATTCCCTGCTTCACTCGGTGCTCATGGTCCTCAGCAACCAGGTTTGCTGTGTGCGTGGTGGATGTGCACTCATTAATGTATGTGTGTACACTTGTCTATGTATTCACGCACGTGGAGGTCACAGGTGGCTACTGTCTTTCTTCAGTTGCTCCCCACCTTAAGAGACAGAGCTTTTCACTGAACTCAAAGCTTGTCCATTCACCCAGTCTGGCTGGTCAATGCCCTTAGGGACCTGCCTGTCTTCATACTCCTTTCCTCAGAGTTGGGGTTACAGGTATGTGCCACTTCACCTGGCATCATATGTGGGTTCTGGGGATCCAAACTCAAGTTCAAACTGTTGTGCAGTGGTCTCCTAACCAACTGAGTCTTCTCTCCAGCCCACAATTTTTTTTTTTTTTTTTTTTTGAGACAGGGTTTCTCAATGGAGCCTGTCCTGGAACTCACTTTGTAGACCAGACTGGCCTCGAATTCACAGAGATTCACCTGCCTTTGCCTCCCAAGTGCTGGGATTAAAGGCGTGCGCCACTGCTGCCCAGTGAAATAGGTTATTTTATTCTTTTATTTTTTAAAATGTGTGTGTGTGTGCGTGTGTGTGTGTGTGTAGCATGTATGTACATGTGTAGAGGTCAGAGGGCAACCTCGGGTGTCATCTTAAGGGCTACTGTCCACCTCCTTTGAGACATGGTCTCTTTTTGGTGTGGACCTCAACGATAGGCTAGAATAGCTGGTCAGGAAGCCTGTTTTCCTGTCCGCCTGTCCAGTTCTGGGATTACAGGCCACCACACTTGGTTTCCAAAACCTTGGTTTGGGGGATTGAACTTGGGTCCTTGTGCTTGCATGCCAAGTTCTTTACCAACTGAGCCATCCCTCCCAGCCCCTGTTCTCATCTTAATTACTAATGTTAACTCTCTGCTGGCACATTACACTTTGCACAATAATGTCTAAATGTTACAGAAAAGGTTAAAGAGGCATCCAGCTTCAAAGTGGGACCAAATTAGTTTCATGAACTGCAGGACCACAACTCCCAGAGCTGTTCAGGGTTCAGAGTTAGCAAATACAGGTCCAGGTGGCAGAGGTCTTGAGTGTCAATTTGAAGGGGAGCATCTGTCCCTGACAGGAAAACAAAACAAAACAAAACAAAACAAAACAAAACAAAACAAAACAAAACAAAACAAAACAAAACAAAACAAAACAAAACAAACTTCTTGATCTGAAGCCCCAAGATAGGTGAAGGTCCCTCACCATGGCAGTTTTTGTAGACAAGGCTCATGACCTACGTGGTGGTAGGTTAGTGTGCCTGCTACATCTCAATCTTGGGGATCCTTTGAAGTTCAAAGTGAGAGGATTCCATCTGGTCTAAAACATGTCTGGTGTTTCTGGTATTATTTTGGTATAGCCACATGTTTCTTTTTTTATTGGCACACATAAGTTACAGTTAGTCCTCACGATGGGCTGGCAATAGCAGTTGTTCACTTGTATAAACAGGAGGTAGAGTCATTCTCTTTTGACACTTTACTCAAGATGGTGGGACTCTAGGTGAAGACTGTTGGACTAACTGAGGGCCAGGTTTGGCTTGAAAACTGCTGCTCTGACAACATGGTACTTCAGAGTAGAGGTGAAGAGAGATGATGGAAGACAGAGGGAAGAACAGTTCAAAATCCTGAGGTGGGGACACATCTGGCCTGCTGAGGGACATCAAGGGACTGGGGGGTCCAGGAGAGGGAAGTAAGGAGTAGGTGGAGATGAGACTGGAGAAGTCTCCTTGCCTAGGGCCTCATGGGCCAGTGCTGTGAGGTTATTTTATGTTTTAAGTCAGATGGGAGTAGCTGCAGTGTTATGAGCAGAGTGAGATCGTGAGTCCTTCTGGTTGCCATGTTGAAAATGAGTTGACAGAGGGCTCCTGAGGTGTAAGCAGGGAGACAGATGAGTTAAAAGTCACTGTAAGAAGCCGGGCGGTGGTGGCTCATACCTTTAATCCCAGCACTCGGGAGGCAGAGGCAGGTGGGTCTCTGTGTGTTTGAGGACAGCCCGGACAGCCAGAACTGTTACATAGAGTAACCCTGTCTTGAAAAAAAAAAAAAACACTAACTACAAAAAGTTCCTGTAGGAATTCAGACAGAGAAGCTGAGGCATGGAGTGATGAAATAGCAAAGCTGGTAAGAAGCATAGTGAGGGGTTTAGTTTTGCTCTTCTGAGATAGGGTGCTGTTATGTGGTGGGGACTGCCCTCCTACTTCCTACGTGGTCTCAGTCTCTTGAAACTCCTCAGTGCTTGGGATTACAAACCTGCCTCACAATGCCTAGCCATGGAGGGATCTTGACCCCAGCTGTCATTTCTTAGCTGCCCCCTTCTCTAGTTCCTGGTGATCATCTAGTACAGTAGTTCTCAGTCTGTGGGTTACAACCCCTTCGGGGTTGAATGACCCTTTCACAGGAGTCGCCAAAGACCATTGAAAAACATAGGTGTTTACATTATGATTCATGACAGTAGCAAAATTACAGTTATGAAGTAGCAATGAAAGTAATTTTATGGTTGGGTGTCATCCCCACATGAGAACCTGTATTCAAGGGTTGCAGTATTAGGAAAGCTGAGAACCACTGGTGTAGAACTTTGAGTCTGCCTTGGACCTGAATGTTGCTTTCTCTCTGCAGGTCTTGCAACCAAAGGCCGGTCGGCTTTGGATATCGTGCACCCAGTGCGGGTGGATGCTGGAGGCTCCTTCCTGTCCTATGAGCTGTGGCCACGGGTACTGCGCAAGCGAGATGTGTCTGCCACCCAGGCCTCCTCCGCTCTCTACCAGCTGCAGTACCAAGGGCGGGAGCTGCTCTTCAACTTGACCACCAACCCTTATCTCCTGGCACCCGGCTTTGTGAGCGAGATCCGGCGTCGCAGCAGCCTAGGACACATGCACATCCGGACCCGTGTCCCCACCTGCCATTTGCTTGGTGACGTGCAGGACCCAGAGCTGGAAGGCGGCTTTGCAGCCATCAGCGCCTGTGATGGCCTAGTGAGTTCTCTGGGATCCATGTGGGGGAGGGCCTGAGGTTGGCATGATGTTGACTCTGCCTGGTGGCTTTGGTCGATATACCTTTCCTCTGCCGGCGTCTGTGTTCACGAGGGAAACAGAAATGACAGTGCAGACCTCCTTGTTCTGAAGGACAGAACGTTTGAAAGTTTTATGTGAGCCAGATGCCAGTTGGCCTTGGTTTTTGTCAAGGTTTGGACCCAATCCTTGAACTTCTGAAAATGTCTCAGAGACCCTCATATGGAAGAGAGCTTGCAGAGGCCAAGTAAGCCTTTGGGTGCTTACTTCTCTGGGGTGTCGGTGATGACGGAATCTCTGCAGACTCTCTTAGGCACGCGCCCCTTGCCTTTAGCCTTGCAGCCCAGATTAGGGATCCCCTGAAACCTCTCTCTTCCTACCTTTGCCAGCCTCTAAGACAGTTCTGCCACTGCTGCAGCCATAATTGCCTGTGGGGTTCCACTACCAAAGACTAAACGAGCTTCCACACCAGGCAGCATCTGTCTGCTTTCTGAAACATCAAGCACCCTAGGGTGTATAGCCGGACTGGGGGTGTGCACACACAACAACCATCCACGGCTTTCAGAGGGCTCTTGGCCAAAATGGCTCAGGTGAAAACTATGGGACCAGCAAAAGGCACTATGAGCTGCGGAATGCCTAGGCTTGGAGGCCTATCAGTAACATATTCTGGTTTAGGAGCCCATGCCTGCTTCTCAGGTTCAGTTCCTCTCTTTGAGCCTGCCTGGCAGCTGGGCAGAGATCTCCTTCCCATTCTGTAGATTAAGAAACAGGCTCCCAGAAGACCTTGCCTGAGGTCACCAGTCTTTCAGGGATTTTGGAGGCTGATTCAAAACCCCTCTGTAGTCCCTTAAAGCAGGGGTACTTTCTAGTACTCTGGACTTCTTAACTCTCTGTGACCCAAGGGGTCTAATTGGTGCTAGTGGGAAAGTCTAAAGGAGGTGACACCTTCTCTATTGGAGTCCCAAGCTTGCTCCAAAAGTGGCAGGCTGCCTGGATGCTTCTCATGGTCCTCTGTTCTCTGAACTCTGTGCCAGGCAGATGTGCCCAAAGCACTTCCTGCCAGCTTCATTTCTCTGGCCAGCTATGGACCCAAGAAATAGGATATCTTGGTGGTCATGGCAACTGTGCAGCTTGGGTATGACAGAGCTGCCTTTGGAGTGATTCATTGCCTCAGGGAGGCTGAAGAGGTCAATGAGAAGTAATGGCCAGCTGGGAGGGGGCATGGTGGCTGGCAAAGGAGATGCAAAACATCCCGAGGGCCTGGCTGTGGGCCACCTACTCAGGAGGGCTGTCTGGGACTGTGTAAAATGTCATCTTGTCAGATTCCGACGCAAACCTCTTTCTCCCTCCTCCTTGTGGTGGTGGTGGAGGAGCAGAATCCTTGGAGATGTTTCAAGAGGCTTCTAGTAAGGGCCAGAGCTTTGCTTTGAAGCCTTTGGCTGTGTAGAATGGCAAGGAAAGAATTAGCAATCGACCAGCAGGAGGAGCCGCCCTTTCTATCTGTGGTGGGTTCAGGTTGGGGAGGTGGGGCTTGGCTGGGCAGGCCAGGCCTCTGGAGTATGTGCAAAGGGAACCAGGTACCAGTCCTTCTTCTGTGACCCTGCCGCATCTTCCCCAGAGAGGTGTGTTCCAGCTCTCCAATGAGGACTACTTCATTGAGCCTCTGGATGGAGTTCCAGCTCAGACTGGACATGCCCAGCCCCACGTGATCTACAAGCACCAAGGCTCTGAGCAGCGGACCCAGCAGGATGACTCAAGGGCTCCAGGCACCTGTGGGGTGCAAGGTATGTACCTCCCTACGGAGTTGGGGCTAGGGATGACCTACAGACACATGTCCTTTCTAGAAGCCTCCCTCAACACCCTCATGCCCAGCTTCCTTGAATTAGAGGAACACAACATTAGAGCAGACATGCCACTATAGCCTTCGATGTCTCATTAACCTGTGGCATGGACTTGACAGGTCCCCTGGACTGTGTTTCCTGCTGCTGCTCACCTCCTTTGCCCACTTTGACAGACACTTCATCTTCCTCTGCTCTCTCTGCATATTGCTTACGGTGTCTCTGACTCCATCCATCATTCTTCCTCAGGTGGCTGGGCTGTCCGTAGCCAGTTCCAGCAGGGATACTGGTGAGGTGCCTCCTGCCTCTCTTTTCTGCTTTTCCACTCCCGACTAACCAACCTGTGTTATTGGGGCCTTACAGCTCAGTACCTGGGGTGGGAGGAGGGGAGAATCTCACCCACTCCATCTGTGCCCGTCAGTGTCCCCAGAGCTGGAGCGTCGGCGAGAGCGCTGGGAACAACGGCAGCAGAAGCGGAGGCAGCAGCGGTCAGTCAGCAAAGAGAAGTGGGTGGAGACCCTGGTGGTGGCCGATGCCAAGATGGTAGAGTACCACGGGCAGCCACAGGTGGAGAGCTATGTGCTGACGATCATGAACATGGTGAGGTTGCCACGCTTGCTGCAAGGGTGGTGGGGGTGCCTGGGAGGGGGCGTTAAAATGGGACCCCAAGGGAGAGCTGGGTGGAAATGCCGCCAGGCTGGCTTCCAGACAGAGGGTCCGATTCCAAGCACGAAGGAGGTTTCCAGGCCTCAAGTCTAGAGAGAAACACAGCGCGGCAGGATCCCTAGGAGAGTGCTCTGGCACAGGACATGGTAGACATGGTTGTAGGGCTTCTTGGACCTTGAACTGCACTTCAGTGCCCCTCCCTGGCCCCAGACTATCCAGAGTGCTGAGCAGTATGCTGTGCCACCCTGCCGGGAGGGGTGAGTGAAGGCTGGGCCACCCCAGCCCTATGCCTGCCTAAGAGCGTGCGGTCTGCTTGTTTCACACGCTCTGCCCTGAACAAACCCCTCCCTGCCTTATGTCAGGATCTGTGCTGAGTGCTGAGAACAGACACACCCCATTAAAAGAGCTCCACCTGAAACATCTTCTACATGTCTTAGAGATGGGAATGTCTGCTCGATTTAAGGTCTTCTAGCTGGTGACCTTGGGCAGGTCTATGAGCTGGGGAGGACAGAAACACTTGGTGGGCTGGACACACTACTCTTGACTCCACCTGACAGTTGAGATGACAGGGGCTCTGGGATGCATGGGCTTAGCAAGTCCAGGTAGGCAAGACAGAGCTACGCAAGGTAGTCTGGGTCTCTAAAGGCCTACCCAGTGGGGACTGTGGCTGATCCTCCTGCCTCAGTCCTGACTGTAGGGTCAGGGCCTCCTTCCCAGATCCCTCCTTGAAGGGCAGATAGGAACCTGCAGGCCACCAGGCTGACCCTTGTAGCCCCTCAGAAGAAAAACTCTCGGTACTGCTCTGTCTGTCCCATAGGCCAGGGTTCACTCACTGCCACCGTAAAGGAAGTGCCTCTGAGGTCAGCTAGCATGGATAGCTGTGAAACCAGGGCTCAAAAGAAGGGGCTGCAGCCATGGCTGATGTCTATCTGCTAACATCACAGTCCCATTGTGTGAGTCCGAGTAAGCGAGAGTAGTCCTGAGGTAGCCTTTCCTGGCTTGGATACCATCACTGGCTCCTTGCTCTTTAGGGAAGAAAAGGCCTCTGAGGCCTTCTGCTTCAGGGTCCTCACTCAGGCTTCTTTGCTGAACCTGGTCTGCACAGGGAGGTGGCCACTGAAGGCCAGACTGTAGGGGGCTATTGCTGAATAACAGGGCTTGGCCTCAGGACAGGTGAGGAAGGGCAGGGTAGGGTTATCAGCCCCGAGGTCCTGTTCTTCCCAGTGTCACCTCTTACAGGCTCAGCTTGCAAGAGGTAGCAGCTTGTCTGGGACTCCCTATAGTCAGCAGCAGAGTCTCTTAGGGGTCCAGACTTAGGCACAGTGAGACCTACCCAGACTTAACAGGCTCTCACAACATCCGTTGGGTGACTAAGGATCAGGCGTTTTGTTTCAGGGCTCACAGGTTCTATTGGGAAGAGGTGGGGTTGGCCTTCACATTCTCCTGTAGGTGGTTAAGGGCCTGACACCCAGCCTGAATATGGGGTGACGGTAGCCCCTGGCATCACTTTATCTTCATTTTTGACTTCAGAAGGCCATCTACCCTCAACATTCCTCCTTTTCCTTAAGAATAATGCCTAGGGCCTAAGAGACAGTCCAGTTGGCAAAGTGCTTCCAACCCCCCAAACTCACTTAAAAAGGCCAGATAAGGTGACATGTACTTGTCACCCCAGTGCTGGAAGGTAGAGGTGGGTAGGTCCTCAGGGCTCACCAGCTAGACAGCCTAGCCTAACCAGCGAGCTTCAGGTCAAAGAAGAAGCTGTCTCAAACAAGGTGGAGGCTTGAGAGAGCTTAGCAGGTAAAGGCACTTGCCTGGAAAACCTGGGCATCTGCGTTTGATCCCCAGAGCCCATGGTAGAGGGAGAGAACGGACAGACCCCTGGAGGTTGGCCTCTGACCTCCTCACATGTGCATGCTACACGAGTGCCCACATGCACACATTGTATATAGGCAGGCTAATAATAAATCAATTAAACAAACAAGATAGTTTCTGAGATGTGATAGCCAAGGTTGACCTCGACACACATGCACACTCCTCCCAAGTCTCCCTTCCTATTTAGATACTATTTTTCTTTAGGTATTGTGAGGAGTCACAACCAACCTGCCATCTGTGCCCTGGGGACCTGACAGCTGACCCCAATTGTGACCTGGCCTCCTCTTTTCTGTGGGAGTTTTAAAGGGGCTGGTGGCTATTGGTATTCAGTTCTCTGCACCCTGGTACACTGTCTGTCTTTAGGGGAGACCCTTAGAGCATTGTCAGTAGCCATGGGGCCTCTGACAGATAGGAACATACCCACCCTCATCACTCCAGAACTGCCACCCTCAGAAAGGACAGGAAAGCAGAGTGGTGGGGGCTCCATGTTGGCACCTGACTCCACCTTAGCTCTCAGGATCCATTCATAGCTGCTCCTTGAGAAGGCTTGGTTTCCCCAGGATAAAAAGAGAAGCATCGGAGCCCATGTTACGCAGCAGCTGACATCAGTGCTCTGGGCTGCTGTTGGCTTTGTTGGGGGGTGGGGGCGGGGGCAGGCTCGGGTGGGGGAGGGGTCAGTATCTGCAAGCAGATCTCAAGCTATTGTTCAGAACAGTCCAGAGCCCTAGGAAGCTACTTGGAAGGATTTTGTGCGGTCACTGCTGGGTGGGGGCGGTGTGAGTGCAGGTGTGGAGATGGGCAGGCAGAGCGCCCACACATCCACAGTGATGTGAGCAGCTAGTGTGCACCTGAGAGTGATCTTGTGTGTGGTCAGATGTGCCTGTTCCTGGGTGGCTGGGGTGGGCACTGGGTTCCATATCCCATATCCTAGTTGTGGCCTGATCCCCTCTGACACCCTCTCGGATAGGTGGCTGGACTGTTTCACGACCCCAGCATCGGGAACCCCATTCACATCACCATTGTGCGCCTTATCCTGCTGGAAGACGAGGAGGTGAGACGTCATATAGTCCTAAGCTGTTCCCAGCAATGACCAGGGCTCTCCTGCCCTGTGCCTTGAGTACCCTACATGGGAGAACATGCGTAGGCCTCCTTGGCCATCACAGTATCCTCCCACACCTC